AAAAAAAAAAAAAAAAATCTTCCACATATTATTCCAGCTTCAGAAAATCATAGATGATAAACATCAAATTAACACACACAAAAAAAATATATATACATCCAAATTTTTTGTTCCAGAAATTATTATACGTAAATTAGTAGGCAAATAACAGAAAAAAGAAGAATCAGAGCCATCAAGAAAATGGGAAACGCAGCCCATCACTTTTTCCAACCGTTGAATCAGAGGGCAATTGGTGTCTGAGCCGCCGTATGAAGCCTGTGGCCAGTTGAGAGAGGTTCGAAGGCTAATTGGAGGTTCGAAGACTAATTGGATCGAGTTTTTCTCTAAGGGAAGAAGAATAAGAAGAACTGAAATGAGAAAAGAGACTGAAAATAAGGAAAAAGAACATAAAAGATAAAGAAGACAAAGGAAAGGGTGAGGAAAACGAAATTAGAAGGAAATATTAAAAAGAATAATCTGTGTTATGGAATTTAAAACTTAATCTCACGTGATTATGTCCTAAAAAAAGTTATTCGCTCGTCTGAGGGGTAATTTTCTCATATTATTTCTGATATAAAATTCTGTAGCGACACAAATAACCTCAGAATTGGGATGTCTTATACGGAGGAGGTGGAAGATGGAGATGTGGAAAACCTTCCGACATCCTTTGAATATTATTAGAAACGGGGGAAAAGAGTGCGGTCCCACCAGATGAAGGCGCACCATAAGAGGGTGAGTCTAGATGCACCTTAGTGAGGTTCCATCCCAAAACCAATTGGTGATGGAAGGAGTAGCCCACTAGGGCGGGGGAAAAGAGTGCGGTCACACCAGATGAAGGCGCATCATAAGAGGGTGAGTCTAGATGCACCTTAGTGAGGTTCCATCCCAAAACCAATTGGTAATGGAAGGAGTAGCCCACTAGGCTTATATACTAGACTCATTTTCCCTGTAGAATCAATGTGGGACACTCACAAGTGATATTCCAACAAATATGAACTCCCTCGTTTAAATAACTCTGATGATTTCGAACGAGCTTCTCTCTCTCTCTCTCTCTCTCTCTCTCTCTCTCTCTAGGTTCTATGTTAT